ATCTCTGTTCCACGTGGTATATACTGAGGCAACTTGTCTCAGGGCAGGAGGATCCATTTTCAAATGGCTCGCTTACATGACTGGCAAGTTGTGCTGGTTGATAGTTGGAATTCAGCCAAGGCTCTGGGCTTGGGGGGAGGGCCTCAGTTTTTCTCCAGGTGAATCAAAAGACTTCCTCACAGCATAGTGTCTAGGCTCCAAAAGCTAGCATTCCAGGAGAACAAGGCAGAAGTGCATATATCTTTCTGACTTCACCTCAGAAGTCATGCAATGCTGCATCTACCATCTCTATCAGACAAGGCAGTCACAAAGACCCCTTGAGTTAAAGGGTAGGATACCTGGATCTTGCTCCTTCATGGGAAAATGGTAATGTACTAGGAAAACATGTAGAGTGGAAAATATTTTTGTGACCTTCTTTGAAAATTAGAATCTACCACACTTATTATGTGACCTTGAGCTAACTTCTCTAGATGGCAGTTTCTTCATTTTTAAAATTGGCAGAGGGATTAGAAACAACAAATCCCAAATTCAAAATTTCATCAATAGCGTCAAAGGAGCTTACTAACAGTTCAGAGTCATGGATACCATCATAGGCCCATGGAATCAGAATCTCCTGGAGGGGAATTTGGTTTGCTGTATTCTTAACTACACTTAGACATAACCAATTTATAGACTGATATTTGGGAATCACATAAACTTTAGCATTTCTGTCTACTATAAAAATATTGGCTCTAGTATAAGAGGCAGGATATTTAACCTCTTTCAAGCCTCCTATAATGCATCCATAAAATAGGGCCAACAAAAGTCAACGGAAATGGTTTTTGCAAGGACCAAATATGATAATGAATATGAAGGGTCAAGGAAATCACCTTCCACAGTGTGGATATTGCTTCAATTAATATTCGCAAATCCCCTCCTACATATAAGCCCCTCTGTTAGGTGATGTACCTATAAGCAAAGAGGAATCAGCAGAGCAAAGGAAGTAAAATACACACATAAATATAAAGTGGTGGCATGAGAAAGGGACCAAAGAGTAGTCAAATCATCAGCATGATACTCTTACAAAAATTTACGGCTTCTGAGTCTGGCTGTCACTTTCCTATCCACAATGGGACAGAGACCTACTTCTCTAAAATGGTGGTGAAACTATGCCACAGGAGCTCCTCCAGATGTCAAATGTTCAGAGAGAAGAACAATGGTTGTAAATAAACTCATTCGATAAATATTTATTAAACACCTACTAAGTTCCAGAGACTCTTCTAGGTTCTGGAGATGCAAGAGCGAGTTCAATCGTCATAATTGCCTATCCCTGAAGACAAGGTTTCTGCCTTCATTAGGCTGACAGTGAACTCAGAAAAATGGTAATGAATCAAGGTGAAACAAGTTTCCTCTGATCAGGACTTTTCAGAGCACTGACCTGTGAATATTGATTATAACTGTCTGGAATGAGATGTTACTCAGCATTTTGCAGATACTTAGTTAGCCAAGAAACACTCGTTCAAAGAGCATGAGGTGCTAACAATGCCCCCATGAGATACACGGCATGGAGTATTTTAGAAATCCCATGTGCCAAGTGAAAGAACCAGTGTTCCTTGTAGCAAAACAACGGTGATTAACAGACCAAATATGTCTGACCAGAATCATCTGTCACAACGCGCTTTGTGGCCCATTTATCATGAGTTGTGAATTCCAGAATTAAAGCTAACTTTAATATTAGTCAAAAAATAGAGAGTAATGTATATTTGTCTCCCCACCCCCTCAAAAGTTAATTTCTTCTGTAAGTATCAGAGAACTTTATTTTGAATGTAGTCATCTTGGAGAAAGGAATCTTAAGGGGGGTTTTGCATAAGTGTATCTGTGTATTGGTATATCTCTCTGTGTGTTAAAATTTTTGAAGGTCTCTTGGCCTGTATGCTGTAATAACCTATTTATTATTGGATATATATATATATGTTTTTAATATTTAAAATTTTTATTTATTTTTTACTAAAAGGTTGCTTGGAAGTGGTTTTAGTGAGAATGTGCCGTGCCTTCAACCCATTAAACAACACTGTTCTGTTTGAAGGAAAATACGGAGGAATGCAAATGTTCAAAGCCTTAGGTAAGTTTTCCTTTGATGGGAACACAATTGTATCAGCTGCCAACAGTTTCACCACTGAGAATGAAATGTCTTGATTCCTTGATGTGAACTAGTTACTCCTTCAATGCGTGCACCAGGTGAACCTCCAGTGTTTTATCTAACTCTCCTGATCTTACTATTGTGGCTCCTTATATGAAAGAAAGGAGCCAACCTATCGAGACCTCATTTAGAAATAAGTGTAGACTGATGCTGGGATGCATCATAGGATATTGTTTGTGGGATCAACTTTTCTTTTACCTTCTACATTACTGCTTCACAAAGTATATTATATTGACTGCTGGTGGTCCATTGGGGTGAACTCTTAAGTTTCTTAAGTAAATTCATAGTCATTTGTTAAACACTTGATCAAAAGAGGAGCACATGCATTTTTTTTTCTCCTCCAGAGCAGTGACTTTCTCCTTGTCCATTGATGAAGTGCTGGGAGGGTAGATACAGTTGGTGTCAACGTGGCCAAAATGATTCCCAGACCATTCTTGGGGAGAGCCATGGCAGAATCAGTCTTTGTTGGAAAGTGTCGTGTCTCATCACATCCAGTCATCAGTACAGGGCAACGATAAGAACATTAGCAAAGATGGGTCCATGCCAGGAAAGGTTTTAACGATTGATAGTGCTATTTGTTCCATAGCCTGCCCACGGACACCAAAGAAGGCCACTGCTCTTTCACCTCTTGTACTGTTAGCTGATAGGGAAACCAACAGCAAATCCACCAGGGCTGGCAGTTTCTCCTGTATAGTTGATACACATCCATGTCATCTCCCAGGCTAGATTTTCAAGAAAGGAGGAAAAACCTTGGCAAGCAACTTCAGTATATTTCCAACTTCATCAAATAAACATTTGTCAGGCCTCAGTTTAGAAACGCAACATTATTTTACCAAAATTCACCATGACTAAGCAACTCATCTCTGAGCCATCTATTAGAAGGTAATAATAAACCCTTGTTCCCCAATCAAATTTCCAGAGAAGCCACCAAATTGAAAGATATCTCATCTCTGTTTTTTTTAATAATTAGTTATTTAATTTTTATTTATTCATTTTTTAATTCACCAGAAAGAGCGAGAGAGAGGGAAAGTGAGAAAGCAAACCACTCAGTCCGGGACTCGAATTGTGGTTGGGTATGTGGGCGTTCAGTGCTTTAACCACCATACCACCTCCTGGTCCCCCTCATCCATCTTATAAGAAGTTCCTTGTCTCTCAGTTTGAAGCCTCTGGACAGTGCTAGGTTTGAGTGCTACTACGAATGGCAGTTCTCAGCCCTTATATATAATGTGTCAGGTTTTCTATGAATGTTCTTTCTATTCTAAAGGATCCCCAGATCACTTATCTATTTTTCTTAACTGGAAATAATTTAAAATTTATAGGATTAGATTAAGGTTATGTATTTCAGGCCCAATGTTACACAAAACATATTCCATGTCTATTTTCTTCTCATTAGAAATATTATCTTTCATTGCCTGACCAAGATCTGCCAAATTTCTTCATCCTATGAATTACTATTATATATTTTTTGTAGTTAGGGACTTAGAAATATCTTTTTAGAGGTCTAATATGCAAATCCTTAATTAACTTTTTGATTATGAGACTTTCCTTACTCTTACCCAGATCCAAGTTTAAGTATTTTCATTTAATTTTTCTTCTTTTACAGGTTCTGATGACCTAGTGAATGAAGCATTTGACTTTGCAAAGAATTTGTGTTCCTTGCAACTGACTGAGGAGGAGATCGCTTTGTTCTCATCTGCTGTCCTGATATCTCCAGGTAGGGAGGTCTGAGGTCCCTTACCTTTTTTTAAACCTGCTTTACCATCTCTAAAATTCATTATACCTATCTAAGTCAAAGTGTTCATGAGAAACTTTTAATAGAGCTGTAGAGGTAGACATCCCTAACCCAAAAATCTGAACTGCTTCAATATCTGAAACTTTTTGAGCACCAACCTGAGGTCACAAGTGGAAAATTCCTCACCTAACCTTATATGCTGAGTCATAATCAAAACAAAGGTACCCAACACATGGTTTGTTCCACATCCTGTAGAGAAAGAAGGCCATCGCAGTCACCTTCAGTTGCAACAGTCTATCTTTTCCACACATGCTCAGAGTTCCCCATGTAAGCATGCTCACAAAGGAAGCCACATTCACAGAGGAGGCCACGCTCACAGAGGAGGCCATGCTCACAAAGGAGGTCATGCACACAATTATTTACCACGCTTTATTAAAGCAGGCAGCTCAGCTGTGGTCATACAGACAGAGTCTCCTTGCTCTACAATGCTTGAGCCACATGGAAGACCAGGATTCAGATCCTAGGCCTAGCCGAAACACACCAGGCTGACAGGAACGCCTGAGATGGATTGAGACTTGAAGACATACTGCTGAACATCTCTCTTTCTCTCTCTCTCCTATTCTCAATAAAGTAAGCTTAAAAAAAAATTAAAAAAAAAAAAAAAAAAAAGAATTACCTTAAGGCAAACCAGCCCCATAGCACAGTGGTTAAGGATTATACTTAGAAAGCCAGATTCCAAATAATCATTAATCATGGTTTGAGCCCTGGCCTTACAGGCTTGAAAAACATGTCAGATATATGTGCATGCCTGTCCTAAATCCTCATGACTTGGAGAAATGAAGAAAAAAGAATTGCTGCGTGATCATGCCACACCGGGAGGTTCTCTCTGTCATGAGTACACATACCCATTGGCAATTTAAAAAAAAAAAAATTACCTTAAGGCCGTGTGCATATGGTATATATGAAACATAATTGAATTTCATGTTTAGACTCTGGTCACATCCCCAAGATATCTCATTATATATATACAAATGTTTCAATTGAAAAAAAAAAAAATCTAAAATCCAGCACACTTCTTTTTCTTTTTTTTTTTTTTGGAGAGATTTTTCACTGTAGGGCGCGTGCGCTCGCCAGACAGACAGAGAGAGACATAGAGACAGAAAGCGAGAAATCACCCCCCAGGGGGGATGGTCACACCGCAATCCCTTCTCCTCCATTCTCCTCTTGGGATCTTGGGCACGCACGCACATGCGCCCGGCGTGAGTTTTAAGCCACCGGGTCCGGGACACGAACCGCGGTCGACTACGTGGGAGTCCAGCGACATAGCCATTACGCTAACTGCTGGTTCCCAATCCAGCACACTTCTGATCCTAAGCATTCCAGATAAGGAATATTCAACCTGTACTTTTTTTGAGAGAGGCATTTTTTGCTGTAAGGCGTATGTGCTCACCAGAGAGACAGAAAGTGAGAAATCGCCCCTTAGGGAGGATGGCCACGCTGCAATTCCTTCTCCTCCATTTTCCTCTCTGAATCTTGGGCGCGTACACACACACCCACACACCAGCATGAGTTTTAAGTCTTCTAGGTCTAAAATGCAATAAAATACCAAAAAGCTTTCAAAGCTAAGGTGTGACAACCCCTTATTTATTGTTCAAATAGAACTATAGTGATTGAAATATTTGTAATAGTCTACGCCAGCTTGAAATGTAAAATGAATAGGGGCCAGCAAGTGGCATAGTGGTTAAGGCTCTGGACTCCCACATGGCCAACTACAGTTCAAGTCCTGGATCCACTGACTTGAAATGCTTCAGGTGCATGTGCATGGTGCACAAAATCCCAAGAGGATAATGAAGGAGAACAGATTGTGGTGTGGCCATCTCCCCTGGGGGATGATTTCTTACTTTCTTTCTCTGTCTCTGTGTCTCTGGTGAGCACATAAACTCTATCATAAAAATCTCTCTTAAAAAAAGAAGAAATGCAAAATAAAAAATATAATCATAGTATATAATCATAATAATCCGAGGTTGGCAAGTGGCATGGTGGTTAAGGTGCTGGACTCCTACATGGCCTACTTTGGTTCAAATCCCAGATCTGACAACTTTCTCTCTCTCTCTTTCTCTCTCTCTCTCTCTCTGAAGTCAAGCTAAAAATAATAATAAATAAAATAAAACAATTATTTTTAAAACATAATTATAATATCTAACAACAATAATAGGATAATAAATACCTGGCTCCCTCTTCAGACTCTTCAAAAGAGAATTAGAGTCACTCACTTAGCTATCTGCTTGATTAGATTTTGGATCAGGGAGAGCAGCAACACCACCAACAGTTCTCTATCAGAAGAAAAATGGAGGAGAAGGGATTGTGGTGTGGCCATTCCTACTGGGGGGTGATTTCTCGCTTTCTGTCTCTCTGTCACTCTCTTTCTGTCTGGCTGGCGCACGTGCCCTATAGCAAAAACCTCTCAAAAAAAAAAAAAATTGAAAGTAGTTACCACATGGAACATTTTTACTGGCAGTGCTTGTTTTATGGCTCTATCTAAAATCAAGCTTTTTCTCTGCATTTTGTGGGTAGTTTGGGTTGTTTGTATTTCTGTTTTTGTTTTGTTTTGTTTTGCTTTGATCCCTAGAAAGTTTATTAGGCCTGGAAGCACAAATATAAATGGAAGAAGAAACAAGAGATACTCATTTTTGGTAGCAACCACATATAGAATAATTTTCCTCTTACCATTTTCTCATTGCATAGACTTGTTTCCCTTGAGCGCAGCTCTGCACTAGAGGGACTATGAATTAAGGAGGTAGTTTCACTGCGTTTCCAGCTTGGTCAAAAGGTACATGACAAAGAATCACCTTGGCAGGGGGTTTGTCTATGGCCAGTTAGTAAATTCCTAGTAGCAAATATTTAAGGCATGACATACCAAACCTGTGACGATCTGTGAAAATGACTCAGCCCTTATGAGTTAACATGAGGAACATCCCACCCATCATCACCTTCCTCAGTTTGGAAGGATAGGATTTGATTTACTCTACCTAGTGGGGAATCTTCCAGCCCTGGTAGCAGATCCCCTACTCCAATATCTTGTTTGCCACCCTGGCTTAGGGCTGCATACAAAATAAGGGGGTGGGGGTGGGGGTGGGGGTACTCAGAGTAGCAGAGAATAAAATGTGACTACCAGAGGCTGGACTGTGTAGGAGGAAGAGGGGATGGAGAGGTGCTTGTAAACAAATTCAAAATTACCTTCAGATCAGAAGAGTAAGTTCTAGGATTTTATGGCTTGGAAAGGTGCATTCTGTAGCCAAGAAGGTCAAATATAATTAACAATAATTTATTTTATATTTCAGAATAGCAAAAAGAGGATTTTTGAATGGTCCCAAGAAAAAGTAATAATAAATGTTAGAGAGGATGAAATGCTAATCCTCCTGATTTGATCACTATATACTGTATTTACATACTGGAAAATCACCTTGTACCTCATAAATATGTACCACTATTATGTCAATTAAAATTTTTTATTGTATTAAAATTATTTTTAGAAGAGAGATAAAGAGGAGTCCGAGTTCCAGCCTGTATAGGCTCCATCTCATGGCAGATCCCACTTCTCCCCTGGTTCTTGACTTAATAGCCACTGTCTGTCCGGCTCCAAATAGCTCAGGGTAGGGAGAGAGGGGAAACTTAATTTATTCTGATTGACAATTGTCACTGAAAGCTTTTGTGCTCACTTACGTAAAGGTTTGCTTAACTGCTGGCTAGACTTGTCCTTGCCTTGGCTAGGGTTACAGAATCGAGTTTCTCACCTGACCTGAACTGTGTTCCAGAGGACCGTGTCCAAGTTCTTTTCCATGAGTATTTTTTCAGCATTTGGGCATTTCAGATGTTTCTCCATTGAAGATTGTTTCTCCAATCCAGCATTGATGCAGGATTGAATTTTGTCACCATGGTATATATGGCTTCTTAGGAAGAAAGAAAGGAAGGGAGAAGGGAACAAAACAGCAAGGGTGGAAGGGGTTATTCCATCCACATTTAAAAATTCAATATAGAAAAATAAGACTTAAGAGTAAGTTTTTAATTGATTCATGTTTATGCTACATAAATTTACAACATAGCTTCCATTGAAAGCATAAGCCAAAAAAAGGAAGGGGATCTTAAACACCACAAATATTTCTGTATAATAGGGTTTCTTCACTGCTATAATTCATTTTCTTTAGAAATCGCTAACTTCTACTTTGAAAGAAAATCCAAGCATATGTCCAGAGAGGGAGTGAGAAGTGTAAATTGTCACAACCAGAAACATGAAGGAGTCTGTTTGAACCATCTCATCCTTTCCTACAAATTCATTCTCTATGTCTTTATGTTGTGCATTCCTGGCACCATGGTATTATTAGTCATATGTTTTACATAAATAATTACACGTTTTCAGAAGCAATTTAGAATGCAATCATTTGACCTGGGTTTGAAACTTAGCACTTATTTATGGAGGTAAAATAAAGTTAGGCTGATTTTCCCCTCCTTTCTTATCTATTCTTTTTTCTTTGTTAGACCGAGCCTGGCTGATAGAACCAAGGAAGGTCCAGAAGCTTCAGGAAAAAATTTATTTTGCACTTCAGCATGTGATTCAGAAGAATCACCTGGATGATGAGACCTTGGCAAAGGTAGGTCTTCAGGTCACAAGCCCACTGTCACCAAAAGGAAGTGCAGTGAGCAAAAGGGGCCTCATTACAAAGGAAGGGAAATTTCCCAATAGCAGCAATTTCTGAGCGCTACTGAGGCTGCATAAATTTTAAGGTGTGTGTCTTTAAAGGGAGAATAGTAAATTAAATATGAGAGGAAGGCTTTCTTAAAGAAGGACTATATTGACAGATTTGGACTCAAAGTACAGGATTCAAATCAAAGGAATGAAGTCAAAAGAATTAACGCGTGTTTTGTCAGAGAAATGAAACCTTGAAGCAAGAAAACGAGTCTTCCAAGTTCATATATGAAGAAAGAGAAGAGATTGTGCCTGTATAGGAGTTTGATGTGGGCAAAAAAAATAAAAAATTAAAGAATAATTTATTTATTTAATTCCATTGGTTATTATTATTATTATTTTATTTGACCAGAGAGAAAGCAAGAAAGCAAGCTGCCAGGTCTGGGACTAGAACTGTAGTTGGTTATGTGAGAATCTAGTACTTTTAACAGCCATGCCACCTGCTGGCCTCCAATGTGTAAAATTTAAGAATAGATAAATTTTTATTCAAAGTAAGAAAGAACTATCAAATAAGGAGGATTGTTGAACAGAGCAGTAACCTACTGACAGTGGTAAGCTCCTTGACATGGATCATATTCTCCTAGATACTGTCTGGTTACCTCTCAGGTATGTTGGAAATGACAGAGGAAGATGAAACTGATGACTTGTAAATTTCCCTTCAACTCCAATCTGTTCAGGGAAGACTTGCCCTGGGGTTCTTTCAAGATGGTGAAGTATTCCAGGGTAAAATGAACATTCCATCAGTTTCTCATTCAACTTAGCTAAGAAAGATTATCTTTGGGGCTAGAAGATAGTGTAGTAGTTAAGGCACTGGACTCCCACATGGCTGACTGCAGTTCAAGTCCCAGACCCAGTGGCTTCAAACACGCTGAGTATGGTGTGTGCTTACCTAAAATCCTGAAAGGAGAATGGAGAAGAAGATGGGATTGTGGCATGGCCATCCCCCAAGGGATGATCTGTCTCTCTCTCTCCCTCTTTCTCTCTCTCTCTCTCTCTCTCTCTCTCTCTCTCTCTCTGTTTCTGTCTGACTGATCAGTGTATGCACCCTATAGCAAAAAAAAAACTCTTAAAAAAAGAAAAAGAGTGATGATCTTTAAGAAGAAGACTGAGAAAATTATTTACCAAAGTAAAATGATCATAAAAGGAGAAAGTAATCTTCAATATTGATATTCCATTTTATTTTAAATCTCAAGGTATCTTTGATTTCTTAAAAACTGGAATTTTTTTAGAGGATAAGGACCTAGGAAATTGTACTTATTCTTGGTAAAAGATAATAGGAATCCTACTCTTTATATTTTTATCATTAAAACCCTCCCATTCTGCCTTTGAAGTTCTTTATTTAAAAAAGGGGGAGGGTAGACACTATTTGGAGACATCATCAGATTTTACTTTGCATATACAGAGTACTGCTATAAAAAACCCCAGAGTTAAATATGCTGCTTCAGTATGGTAACATTTTGTTAAAATTAACACCTCCCTAGGAAGAACATTTCTGCACCGTAGAGTGGTCGTTCTCTTTGCTGTAACTTTTCACTTATTATGTGGCCAAGGACACATCACCTGCTCTCTACAACTCAGTTTTCTCCCCGTCAAGGGAAATATTTCAACCAGCTTTCAGAGTCACTGGGCAGAAAAGACAGTAATAGGAATATATTCATACAGCTCTATAGTTGTCTGGTAGCATATATACATAAATACATCTGGTTAATTAATGTGGAGAAATGTTTTCTGAATTTGGGATCTCCCAGAGACTTTGTTCTCCAGAATTATCATCCTAAAATTAGGGTCTTGAAAAAACCCAGAGATAGATGAATGGTCTTGCTATTCTGCTGTAGGGGGTTAACTGCTTTCACAAAACTATGGTCTCATCATGGTAAAATGCAGATTACAGTTTCTCTACTCATGTACAATTATGTTATGAGGTTGAGATTGTTACTTCCCTAGAGGGTAAAATGTTCATCCATATATCACTCTCTACTCCTGGTGTCCTTATAGTGAATTGAGATATTTAAGGTTAGAAAGAAGGTAGTGGTGGCGTGAGGGTTAAGATGGCAGGATCCCACATGGCCCACTCTGCAGTTCAATTCATGGACCCAGCAGCATGAAAAACGTGCTCCTTCTAAAAGGAGGAAGAGATGAAGAAAAAGGGATTGTGGCATGAACATTTCCCATGGGAGGGGGGGTGCTTTCTCATTCTCTCTTTCTCCATCTCTCTTTGGTGAGTTCCCATGCCCTCTAGCAGATTAAAAAAAAGAAAAGAAAGAAGAGAAATTAAAGAATGAAAGTTATTGGCAGCAAAAAAATATATTGAAATATCAGTTATAGGTCAACTTAACCCTTCTCCATTTTTAATAAGAAAAGTACACACAACCCGACTCTTTTAGAGTGATAATGTTGCAAAGTTAGGGACAGTGAAGAAGAGGATTATTTGGACCAGCAGACAGTGTAATGGTTATGTCGCTGAACTCCCACAATCTACTGCAGTTCAAGTCCTAGACCCAGTGGCTTAAACCCCACACAGGCATATGCATGCATATGCAGGCCCAAAGTCCCAAGAGGAGACTAAAGGAGAAGGGATTGTGGCATGGCCATCCCCCTAAGAGGTGATTTCTCAATTTCTGTTCTCTGTCTCTTTCTGTCTGTCTGGCAAGTGCATGTGCCCTATAGCAAAAATCACTCTTTAAAGAAAAAGAAGAGGATTCTTATATAAAATTCTTGGAGTCAGGTGACAAAGCATTGGTTTCACAGACCGTGTGCAGATATTGGGTTTTTGAACAGATCCTTCCTTGTAACCATCATCATTTTAATAGGAAAGTATTTGAACTAAGATGGAAGGACTGTGAAATAGAAGGGAGCTGAATTCTCATTTATCCCACCTCTGATCTATGTGGCTTCCATCAGTCATTTATTTGTCTGAGTCTTAGATTCAATTCCCAAGTGCTGAGGGGGTGGTAATCTCTCAAGTTCCTGACTACTTTAACACTGAGGGCAAGCACACCACTGGTGTGTAGGATACCCTGTCATCAAACTCCCCTGAAGCAATACTTTGATTTAAATTCAGGAGAAATTGTCCCACCCCACCACAGACTCTTCTTGCCTTTTCAGATGCCTTCAAATATCTTATGTCAGGCCTGCAGTCATGGAGCTCTTCTGCCTCCACCACCTCAAAACAGTGACAGCCATACGTAATATCTGTAATCCACACTGCCTCTTGAGGAATCTGGCAAACATTGTGAGACCTATCTCTACCAAAATACACACACCCCAAATGTTCAAGTCCAGGGTCTCAGTTAAATCTCCAGTGGAGGAGAGGGGGATAGATCTGCCTCTCATTTAATGTACAGAAGACTATTTATATCATTGACCAGCCCAACTCAAACCAGGTGTAATAGGCACCAGGTTAGAGAAACCGAGCAAATACACAGTCATTGAACTTCATCCTGAAATATCACTCTCCAACACACTTCCTATAAACTCACTTTTTTATAAACATGCCTTCTACTTTGGGCCAAACTATAATCTTGAAAAGTCAGAGAGTCTGTGCTCATTAACTAGAAGGTTTTAACTCCTATATTTTAATCAAGTTTTAGGGTTTTGTTGTTGTTGTTGTTAGAAAAAATACTTGATTAAAGAAATCTAGTTTCTTGTCAGTATATGATGATATGTAGCATATTGATAAGAAACCATCAGAGCCACTTGCTAACCGAGTGACCCTGGATGTATGACTTAAGCTCAGGGTGCCCCTGTTTCTTATTTGTACAATGTGACCAAAGATAGTACCAATGTCATATGGTTACTTGGTGGACTAAATGAGTAAAATTATATAAGCTGACCAGCCTAGAAGTGGTAATAGGTAAATGCTCTCACTGTAGTTGTAGTTACTGATGATGATGACAGAATTTTATTTCAGCAAGGAAATTGTCACCCAATAAAATGGTATGGGTTCCGCCAATCACTGATGGACAGCATTTCCAAAACTGAAAGTTGGAGGGCTGGGCAAGTGCAGCATAGCATTCCAAGCGATGGTGACAGTGGTATGGAGGTAGGAAAGTACAAGGTATATTCAGGCTATAAATAATAGTCGGATTTGGCTGGCTCCTTGATTTGTGAGCCAGGAAATGAGATAACACTGGTCACTCTCACTAAAGCTCATTAAAAAAACATAAATATACATATATATTTTTAAGCCCCATATGACTAGAGGAGGCAGCCCATCTGTTCTCTGGGCTTCACTTTTCTTGTCTGGGAAATGAGTAGGTTGGACTGCATGGTCTCTTAGGTCCCTTCAATATAATGTTCTTTGACTCTCACAAGAGAAAAACAAAGGTTCCTCCTGACATCTTTTGCCCTCCAATGATCAGCCCTGTGGGATAGTTTTAAGACTTCTTTAGATGTTTTACCACTATCACAAATGAAGAAAAAAGACTGATTTTGCCAAGTCTTGCAGATTCAAATTAGTGCACTGTAACCATTTGGTTTGGGATGGTATTCCAGCCCAAAGCCAGAAAGCACACAAGGTTCCTGAAGCCTTGTCCTAAGACCAGATCCCAGTCGGGCTCCCAGGAGTGCCCCATCACCTTGTGCTCAGGCACTGCCGTGACTCACTGAAAGAGGCTCACTTCTGGACAAGGCCCACTGTGGAGCAAGGGTGAGAGGCAGGCAGTTGATACGTGAACTGTAGACAGTTGAGTCATCAGTTCTCGGACCTGTAGTTTTCCTCTACATTGCTAAATCTGCTGTTCTTTTTGCTCTGACTACACAGAGGGTGGAGGAGAAGGAGGAAGCAGCCCAGCCAGGACCAGGCTGGGGCAGCATGCTCATGGCCAAGGACAGGGCTTGGATCTGTACATCTCACTCACATCTTGCTCTAAGGTGCATGTTTCCAGCCCTTTCCTAAATGCAGCC